ATGGCCATGCTTGGAATGCCATCGATATTGATGGAATAACCGCTGGGGAGTATGCCAAACGTAACGGCCATGATATCATTTATTCTTTTTTGTGTAAAAGATCAATTTAACGTCTGTTGATAATGTTTCTCCTACACAAAAACTGGATGATGACGAATGGAGCCTACAAGTGATTAAAATTCCTCTAGAAAATCTATACGAAAGATTACAGGGTAAAATAATTTATCAAATGTCATACTTTATCATCTTTTGCTATAATAACAAAGTCTGCGACTCAACAGAATTACGGAAGCAACATATTGAAAATCTATGGATCGATAGTAGACTATACACTTATGCATATGGATTACATGTTGCAAAGGATCTGTTATATTGTAAAATGAATAACATTACTTAATACGATGTACCAAAGTAAAGGGTTTTTAGTTTATTTTATAAACTCGTTAACTAAAAGTGAGAAAGTATATTTATATAATTCATAGTGAAATATCACATTTAGCTCTAAATTATTCTATTAAAAATCGACATATAGGCAATCTATAGGTATTTAATGTCCAATATCGCCTTTTAACACCTTCCCAAATTTTTTCACTAGATAGATCGATAGGAATCTCTATAAATTCTGTTTGAAATCCCACACTGGCTAGGTGCAGTTCTGCTATTCGACAATAAACATCATGAAAAAAGGGATTAGTGGCTCCTAAACCATTGAAAAATGAATATATTCCTTCTGGTTTAAGGAAATTAGGAAGTTCATTATTGAACTCATGAAAATCTTCATACAATTCACCAAAAGTGTCAAAGAATATACCGTCATAAATTTCAAGTTGATCTAGTGAATCTTGCCACCGGCCAAAAATGATTTTTACACCGGGCTTTTTATCCCAGCCTTTAGCCAGTATGTGTTTATAGACATCTGGATGAGCTTCTATAATTGTATGTGTACGTGGCTTATATTTTTGGATGGCAGTGTCAACAAGTCCAAGACCAAATCCAACATTTAGGATGTCAAGATTCTCTCTAGTGCATATTATTTCAGCATGTTTTTCCATTAAAGGCATTTCCCATCCCATCATAACACCATTATTTTCGTAATCTAATAATTTTGTGCCATCTTCTGAGTACTTAAGCGGTTGAGACAGGTAATCGAAATTTGAACATTGACCGTTTTTATTTTCTTTTGTATCGAGTAGTCCTTTACATATACAAATATATTATCAGTTATATACAAACAATAATACGCACAATTAAAAAATTTTAATATTTACGTAAGTACCAAGTATTAATTCGGCTCTACATCCTTCTTCGAGAAGCTGCTCATAAACGATATCATGGCCGTTACGTTTGGCATACTCCCCAGCGGTTATTCCATCAATATCGATGGCATTCCAAGCATGGCCAT